CTAATGGTTACAATGGTCTATAAGTATGTAAGGTAAGGGATAATGCGTTAAGTAAATTGCCTTGATGTCGATGAAAAGTGGGGCGACATTTGTATTGGCGCAAAACATTGGAATTTTTGTTATCGCATCACCCACGCTTCGCTGCAAGCAATCGTTTCATCATAAAGAAATATCATTCGTAAGAATATCGACTAAAAATAACTGATGGTTTCTATATTCGTATATTCCTGAAAAGAAAATTGAAAGAGAAATTATTAAAAGATAAAAAAGAAATATCTTACCTTTGAGAAATTAACTCTCTTAATGTATATGAATTTAATTTTTAATATAACTATTAAACATTGAATAAGAATAATATAAAAAAAAGAATAATATAAATATAAAAGAATAAATTTATAATGTTTCTTGCTTACTTTTTTGTCATTTTTTTCTAGTCGTAAAATATTTGAATTTTTATGTAAATAAGAGTTGTAATAAAAAAAATATTAGAAATTACTTATTGTTCACTATAAATAATAAAAATATTCATGTGATTTTTTAATGAATTTAAATTTCAAAAAAGTATCGTGAAAGTTCTTGGGAATATAAATTAAACATTCTTAAAATAGATATATTTATATATTCCAGTCAGAATATTTTTGTGCTCATTTTAAAGATATCTGCTAAAATATGTAAAATAAAATAAATATAAAATAAATTATTTTATTTTACAATTTCTAAAACGATTATAAAATTTTCAAATAAAATTTTTGAAATTAATTTTTTATTGCGATTATTTCAATTACACATTATTTAAATTATTACGATTAAATATACATATTCTCAAGAAATTAAATTTTCATTCGAAGAAACGAAATTTCATATTCACTAACCTAATAATTTAATCCAACGTTGGAAAGCGGAAACTGCTAAATATTATGTATACGTATATTAAACGAATATGCAAATCATTTTCATTATTAATAATTTTAATAACTTAATTGAAAAAATTGTTTATTATTTATTTTACTTTTTATGTATTCTTTTTTTTTATTTTTAATATGCCGTTTGTTTCTTATTTTTTTTATTTTTAATAATTATCAAAATTCTTTACTGATATTGAATTTTGATGAAATATTCAAAACTATATAAAAAAAAATTTTTTTTCTGCACTGCGTCTTTAACGATGGAGATATTTTTAATTAAAAGAGAATTCATGAATATGCAAGTGATTTGTAGCTGTTTTTGAAACATCCATTGGCAAAGAATACTGTCACAATTCAAAAAATGACGGGTTTTCGGGAAATTGAAATCTCGTCTGGCGGAGGTGAAATACAAATGTAAATAAAATCGAGTTTCCCGTCAGCTAAAACCTATTTCAAATGGAATCGGTTCATATCCATTCATAACTTAAATAAACTAAAAGCTGTTTCAGATAGAAACTAAATAAATAAATATACATTCATAAAAATTTATCTAAAAAATATGAATTTTTCAGAAATTATTATTCAACTAAAATAAATGATATTTTATTGTGAAACTGTATCAAACATAAAAATAAATATTTTTAAATAGATAGACAAAATAATTTCTAATATAATTATACGAAATATATATATATATATATAGAGAGAGAGAGAGAAAGAGGAGTGTTAATATATACACATACCGGTATATATAAATGTTGGAAAAAAAAAAAAAAAAGACTCACTACTCCCCTGACGAGAATTGAATACGTTTTCCGAGACGAGTGTCAGTGAAACAATTTCTAAAGGCTCGACAAGTTGGAGGTGCTCAAACGAAACGAAAGCTCACAAGTGTTGAACAGAGAGGAGTTCATTTTTCCCCGGTTCTCGTTAGAGTGACGAAAAGGGCCGACTTCTCGCGAAGATTGACGATTTAATTTAAGAATTCTCCATTCACTGAGGCTCTTTCTACTGTTCGTAGAAATATATACGTATATATTTTCGTTTGGAGAGATAGAAAAGCGGTGCTCAAATTATTAAAATTGGAGAAATCGTTGCTCAGAACTGGTTATGAATTTTAATGCATTTTAAATCAAAATCTGTACTGAAAATGTTTATTTCTTATCTTTTCTCCATTTTTTTTGAAATTTAATAAAATTAATATCTTTTTAAATATTTTCTTAATTTTTCTAAATAATTTGAAAATTTCTTTTTTAAATAACAATGGAAATTGTTCAAACAATATGATTAAATTGCTCTAAAACTTGTACAGAGAAGAAAAAGGGAGAAAAGAGGAAAGAAAAAAGTGAGCAAGGAGAGGTAATTTTATTAAAGGAGGAAGAAAAAGAACAGACGATGTAGAAGGAAAGAAATTAAGAAAGATGGGGATCAATTGTGAAGAATGAATAAGGACAGAGCGATTTGAGTGAAGAGAAAGAGAGAGAGAGAGCGCAAGTAAAAAATAGCGAAATAGAAATTGAATGACAAGGAAAGACTTAAATAGTGAAATAATGAACAAAGAAAAAAAATGAGAGGAAGCAGACAAGTGGAGGAGAAAAAGACAGATATTAAAAAAGAGATGGCAAAGAGGAGCGTGGTCTCCGTGATTGAAAGGGAGAGAGAGGAGGAGTAGAGGCTTTGTAAGAGGAAGAAGGGGAAAGAGTAAACGAAATAAAAAGAGACGGAGAAGGTAAGAGAATAGGGGAAAGAAGAATCCCTTCCTTTCTCTGTAGGGAGAGTCCATACACAGTTGGTCAAAGGTTACTATACAGGCAACTGTGCACGACTGTGTTTAGAATTATCCAATCCAATCCAAGCTATACAAGCAAAACATATAATGTACAGTAGAGAGCAAAATTACTTTCCTTGTGAAAACTTTTACCTCTTTATCTTTCCTCTATCGTTCATTCGCGTGTTCGTAATATAATTGATTAAAATTCAAATAAACAATTTTTCTCCAAAAAATGAGAAGGAATGATTATATGAAATCAAACTTATTCTTCTATTTTCCATTGAAAAAATACCAAGAATTTCAAGTAAAATAATTTTTATCGGATTATATTTTCATACCTCAATACCTTCCTTTTTTTTTTATCTTCTTCTTTTCGAATATATAAATTTTATATGAATTTAAAATTTAATCACAAACCTCGAAGTATAATACATCAATCATAATATGGTTGTGAATGAATTATAAATTAGAATTTTTAATGAACAACGGATGCTAATGAAATTAATAATTATATAAATTAATAATTATAATAATAAATATTAATAATTATTATTAGTAATATTTAATTATTTAAACATAATGAATCGCGTTGATTTTATTTATAAAAATATCGAACAGAAACAAAAGTGATATTTTTTTCTGCTCGTCAAATATTCAATTACCGTGCACCAACGATGTAAAAGCAACGCGAATGAACGTGGACGAGGCCATAAAGGAAGAAAACCTTGAAGAAAGATGGCTCTAACTACTCGACATTGGCCAACGAGCTGAATAGGCAACTTGACATAATATAAAATCATTTTACCAAAGAGAAATATTTCAAGAAGAATTATTCTCTTTAATGCAACTCGACCTTATACGTTTTCCTCTAATGAGTTTTATTTAAGTTCTCTTACCAAACAAGTTTCATCACTATTAAGAGTAATTTCATCCAATTAATTCATTTATTTAAAATATTCTGCTTTTCTTAAAAAAAAAAAAAAAAAAAAAAAAAAAAAAAAAAAAAAAAAAAAAAAA